ATTTTTTATAGGAATAGCCTCAGGATACCTCGTTGAAGCACACATAATAGTTAACATAAACTGGTGTCCCCGCTTAGATTTTGGGAGGGGACCGACACAGTCAATAATCACTTTTGAGAAAGGTTCATTGACTACAGGGATAGGCATTAAGGGTGCCGGTTTCAGCTTTTGATTTGGTTTCCCTGACATTTGACAAACATGGCACGAATGGCAGAAATGACGTACATCTGATGAAATTCCTGGCCAGTAGAAATATTTTAATATTTTTCCCAAAGTTTTTTTCACTCCGAGATGTCCACCCGTATAATCATGAGCTAGACTGAGAATCGTAGGTCTATATACCATGGGAACTACAATCTGGTGGACCTCATGCCACACTTCTTCTGCATCTGTTTCTGGTGGACGATATTTACGCATGAGCAGACCTGACCTAAGATAATAGCCTTTGTAATCAACCTGACAATCTTTCTCTGATCCAGCTATAGCAAACAGAGGCTGTAAGGAACAGTCATCTTCTTGAGCTTTTAACAGAGCATGTCTAGAAATTGGTATCTGACTGAAATGCTGGAAACTTTCGCTTTCATTTCCCGTCTCAATTCTTTTGCTGTTCGACCTTTTACCATTCTCTTCCTCCTGATCTGATCCCCCTACCATAATATCTCTTACCATAAACAGAGAATCTAAACCGAGGGAATCATTTTTACCTATAGAATCTATATCCTCCGTCTCTTTTGCCTTACTCCGTGTGACTGCACAGACAGGAAACAGGTGTGGATACTTTCTTTCAACTTCTGCAGTAGGACTAAACATAAGAGGTTGTGCACGCACTATAGGGTCTGGTACTACTAACTCTCCTGCTATATCATTTGCCATCAAAAAGGTAGCCCCCTCGACTGGCAGCGAGTCTTGAACACCTACCATTACCGATTTAGATAAGAGTTTACTCTGTAAGTAGATGCGGCATAAAGGCACTGTAACAGTACCACCGAATCCCTGAACTATTACACTTTCGCCTGTGTATGCTTCTTCAATAAAAGGGACGGCCCCTTTCACCACTACACTCTTAGAGGCTGCGGTATCCCTCAATATGGTCACTGGAAATGCTTCCGTCCCTTCTGATTTAGATACAGAGCCTTCAAACATGAACGGTTTAAACAATGACTGTGATTCCCCCTGACAGAATTCTTTAGAATATTGTGATCGGAGTACTGGATGTGATGCAAGGGCAAGATTGGAATACCGGTCGTCGCTCGCGTCGTAAGACTTGCCTTCCAATTTTGGGCATTTAGCAACAAAGTGTCCTGGTTTTTTACAATAAAAGCAATCCCGACTTCGTGTATTAGAGACTGTATTATGATTAAAAGTAACCTTCCTATTTGCACCATCCTGTTTTATACGACCCTCTAAATTCAGCCTCCCAGATACCGAGCGGGAAAAAGATGTCGAGGTTGGTCTTAATGTGCTAGTGTTACTCTGATGTATTAAACTATAATTCTCTGCTAAAGTAGCAGCTCTCATTAATGTTGCCACCTCTTTTTCACATAGGTACACACGGACATCTGGAGATACTCCTCTAATGAACTGCTCGAGTGTCACTAATTCGCATAAACCTTCAAATGTTGTCACTCCACTAGCTGCTAGCCACCGGTTGCGAAGCTTTGTAAGGGTATGAGCATATTCTGTAAAGGTTTCATCATCTCCCTTTAAACTTTCCCTAAATCTAACCCGATAATATTCAGCAGTGATTTGATAAGCATTAAGAACTGATTCTTTAACCTTAAGGTAATCATCTTGATGCGCCTCAGAGAGAGAGAGATAAGTGCTACGAGCTTTTCCTTTTAGGGCAGACTGCACTAACAAAGGCCAGTATTTTCGAGGCCATTCCATTGCCTTTGCCACGGTTTCGAATTGCAGGAAAAATTCCTCCGGATCCTCCTCCTCGAACCTTGGTACCATTCGGCTCTCCTTTCCCACGTCAAAACGCCCACTCTCAACATTATCTTCTCCAAAAGGACACGCAACCTTTGCCTTCCTTTCTAAAAGATCTAACTGAAACCTTCTCTCGCTCTCTCGATCCCTCAACCTTTCCATCTCTAACTCTCTCTCTAACTTTGCCTTCTCTAACTCCATTTCCATAATTTTAAGCGACTCCCGCGTGCTATTATCGTCACATAACTTCAGTGCTGACTCATCTAAGTGATCATCATCTACTAATGCATTAATTACTTCCTTTATAATTACTGCTTTTCTATTGCTTGAATTAATTTCGATTTCGTAGTGTCTTCCTAAGTTAATCCAATCACCCTTAGTTAACTTACAACCTTCTAAGTATTCTACCGATGGCTCGGCAATAAACTTATCCAATTCGAAATTAGCCATGGTAAATCTTTAAATTTAGCAACCTTCTTCTATTATGATAATAACAAATATCAGCAACCTTTAATTGGTCAGGCCCCCATTTATTATGAATATTAAATAATTCATTTCGATATTGGTGTTA